TATATATATATATGGACTTTAGAGTAAAAGTCTCTTTCTGTTTTATAACTTGGCATCATCCCAAGTAAGTTGTTTCTCTGCTAGGCTGCCCTGCAAAAGGAAATCTCACCACAGAGGAAAGGGAGCCTGAGTGGAAAGCGATTTATCACCATCTAGTGGTTGGACACAGCATACACTTTATTCCAAGAGCAACAAAAATTCCAGATGCATCTAATTTGTTTGGGATTATATCTAAATTGTAAGAGTTGCAGCGGTCCCAAATCTTATCCGAGCAACCCAAATTGCTATCTGATCCCAAACACCTGCTCACACTCTGCTTCTGTCTTCTCCCCCTCTCGGCTGTAGAACCTTTGGAAAGAAACCACTGCTTCCCAAGCCTGTGCCCTTTGGCTTCATAAGTGACTTCCAAAAAAGATGAGATACTGCCATTTGTGACAACATGTCTGGATACCATCCTAAGTGAAATCAATCAGACAGAAAAAGCCAAGAACCATATGATTTCACTTGTATGTGGGATATAAAACGAGAACAAATGAACAAACAAGAAAAACAAAAACTCACACAGACAACAGTGTGGCGGTTACCAGAGGGAACAGGGGTTGGAGTAGTAAAGGGTAAAGGGGGTCAAATATATGGTGACAGAAGATTTGACTGAGGGTGGTAAACACAGTGCAATATACAGATGATGTATCATAGAACTGTGCACTTGAAACCCATATAATTTTATTAACCAACATCACCCCAATACATTTAATGAGGGGAAATAAGTGAAACAGAGAAGCTAAGAGAAGCAGCAGCAATCTCAAGAACGAAGGAATCTGGAAACAGGACGAAGGACTAAAACTTCTATTTCTATAGTATTTCATGTCCAGTTCAGAACTAGAACTCTGGTCTCTGAGTTTTCTTAATGAACTTTCTTTTTACACAAATAAGAACCACACGGGGCACACATTCGCCTCCTGCCTCTGGTCTGTTGTTACCTTTTGCTCACTAAGCCTCAAGCCTTTCTTGAGTCCTCTGACCTTTATCACACTCTGTATTCACTACTCCCTCTGGTTCTTCAGGATGTCACAATCCCAGAAATGCCAACGAACCTTAGTGACTGTTCTCTTGGCAACCGTGGTAACCAGAGATGGTGCAGCACAGGCCCACGAAAGGAGGTCAGAGAACGGAAAAAACAAGAGCTCTGTTTTTTTCTGTCCACTAAATATCCAGTGCTTGACTCTACAATCAGGGTGAAGTTGGAGAAGCACCTGAGCCCTCTAAGGCCCTGGCGGCCACACCTTGCATGAGAAGTAGATGACACATGCTTAGGTCACAAGAGGTCTGTCGCCCCAGAATGCTGGCTATTATCTCCGTGATTTCCATCACTGCCTCTGTTCCTGCTTCCTTCGCCAATCTTCTCACAGGTTCTTGCCTTTCTCCTGGTCTTTGCCACTGTGGGCCTGTGACCTGGCTCCCACACGTAAAACTTTCTGGAGATGACCCTGAAACTTCAAAAAAGGGGATCAAGTCCTGCATAAGGCAGGAGGGAGAGACCCTGGACTTTGAGGGGATTTGCAGTTGGCACCAGAGACTTCCCTGGCAGAAAGCAGCCTCGGTAGGGCACCCAGGACACTTGTCCTACACCTTCTCCAAGGCCCCCTTTTCTCAGACAACTGAATGCACATATCCCAAATATGCCAAGTGCCTCACACCTCTTGGCCTGTCCTTGGCTCACTGGTCTCCCCACGAAAACAGCGCTGCTCCCACTTCTCAGGGTCATCCTGCCCATCACCCACAAGCCTTTCCTAATTCTCCCTGGAGGGTAAGGCACCCATAGTTCCTCTGCCCTTTTCCATATAAGTGATCAAGTTGCGCTGTAAGCCTGAGACCTAACCCATATCCACACTAGACTCGAAGGTAGCTTAGGGCAGGAGCCATCTTTTCATTTCAGCTGAGGCTCTGAAAGGTTAAGCAACTGTTCAAAGTGAAGTTAGAGGTTCATTTCCCTCATCTATAACAGAGAGATGGTCAGATTTTATTGTGTCCCTGTGAAAATTTAATGAGAAGATATTGTAAAGCATCCAGAACAAGGTAGGTAGGTATTCAGAGTACAGAGCCACCAAGTCTGTAGTGATGAGACATATTCCACTGACATTACTCTCTAAGTCAGATTCTGTCAGCTAATGAATTCGAAAGGAAAAGATTCAACTAGTTAAATACCATACTTCATCCAAAAGACAGAAAGTGAGAGAGAGCCAAGAAATGAAGACGGGAGAGGAACTGAGTCCATCTATTCTCCCTTCAGGTGGGAACGGGGTGGGTGCAGACTCTTCCAAGAGTCAGGAACAGGGAGCCTCGGGCTGTTTGTGGGACTCCAAATGGGCTTGAAAAATGCAGGAAAGTGAAAAAGGATGATTGTTTACAATAGCTGAGGAATTAGAAAGAATTTCAGAAGGTGAAAGGAAAACACAGCTTGTAGTAATTTAACTAAAAATTTAAATATAGCCTGAATTTCTGGAACACCCTGCAGCCCCCAAATAGTAGCTACCACAGCTACAGGAGACTTTATTGTGTCAGAATAAAATAACATGTTGGTGCAGAGAGCAGACAGTGCAGGGCAGGAAGAACATGCCTTTCCCGAGACACCTCCGTGCCCAGAGGATCACTCACCGAGGCAGCGGGCTTGGGTGGCGCGGACTGCACGCTGCGCGTGGAGGCCCGAGGCACGTCCTCTCCCACAGGAGCCGGGGTGGCGGCCTGGGCTTCCTGCGGGAACAGCAGGCACAATGAAGGTTGAGAAATATCTGCTCAGTAACACTGACCAACGAAGAGTCAGCAATACGCTCTGCTACGCTACCCACTGTGAGCCTGGTTCTCTCGGACCTAAGCTTGCCGAATAGTAAACAAATCAAGGCACGTTAAAACTCCTCGGCTACCGCTATTTCAACTTAGTTTTATCTCTTTCCTTAGGTAGGTTACTTAACCTCTCAGACTCAGTTTCCACATTTGAAAAATGACAATAACAGTACCTACGTCTCAAGGATTGACAGGGGGCTTTAATGAGATAAAACGTGAAGTGTTTGCACAGGACCTGGAAACAATAAACTCAATAAATTTTAGCAACTGTTATTATTTATTTCTTCTTTCTTCTTATTTATTTCCTATTTATTTCTCATATTATATATAATGCTGTGTAATATTTTACATAAATACATCATTTTTATATATTTAAGAGCACTTTGTACATTTTAAATAGCTATGTACAAATGCAAAGTAGTAATACTATCCCAGGAGTTCTCAAAGTGAGGTCCCGGAGCAGCAGCCTCAGCATTTCTGGAGAACTTGTTAGAAATGCAAAGCCCTGGGACCCCCACGCCAATGCACTAAATCAGAAACTCGGGCAGAGCCAAGCAATCTGTTTTAACAAACCTTCAGGTGATCCTCATGCATGCTAAAGTTTGAGAATCACTATACTATCTTATTTTATCACAAGGTAAAGTTTCAAATAAACTGTTTTTAATTCAGGCATTTATGGAAATCTACCCTACATACAAGGTGTTTACAGATGATTATTAATAGGATATGATTTCTTCTTTCAAAAAACTTGCCATTTAAAACTATGTATAAATGTAAGATGTAAAGAAGGAACAAAAGCTAAAAACTTGTTTGCAACAAATGCCCTAACAGGGATAGATAAAGAAAAACTACAGCCCCCCTGGCATGATATATTCTGCTCAACTTAGAGTCGGAAGGGCGGTCAGGTTTGCGGAGGAAAAAGCAGGAGACAAAGGCCATATTTTAGCACAGCCTTAAAGGGATGACTAAGATTTGAGTCGATGTAGAATTAGGAGGGAAGTTATTCCAGCAGAAGGAGCCATGTGAGAAAAGCCATGGAGATAGTGTCATAGCTTAGTGACTGGGGACGTACCGTGGTAGAAAAGGTAGCTGAGGCCAGAACACATTAGTAGAAAGTTTTCTTTTGTAGGAAATGGGAAGCTCCCGAGGACTGGAGCAGGGGAACAACGTAACTACACACATGCTTGAGAAAGAGTAATTCTGGTGGACATGTGGGATGGGCGGGAAGGAGACTGAAGACAGCGCCCACTGCCGTCTTGAAGTGAGTGGTGATGAGTTTAACTAGGTCAGTTTCAGAGGCAGGAATAGAAAGGAAAGCATGGGTGTGAACGCTTTCCTGAGGAATAATTACAGGACTTACATTGCAGGAAAGTCAGGGTCAGCTGGGGGAAAGAGAGCACATTCGGAAAAAAAGCTGAGCAAAAGCTGCATGTAGAAAATGAGAACATAGGAGCCTTTCCATCAACCATTTCATGCGAAAATATTTTGGGTCTCACATTTTTAATACTATAGAAAAACATTTTTTAACCCTTTGCGGTCATTTGTCTATTCTCAGCCACCAAAGCTTTTTTATGGTTCCGGTCGTATGTCTGCTCTCAGCCACCACAGCAAGGAACCGTACGAATCTTAACTCTATTCATTCATGTATCAGTTCATAATTTCTCTTGTTTATCCTTCATAATCTTGCATGTTATGTATCACTCTTCTTTCAATGGAAATTAATTCCGACCAGTACGACACCCATGTCCAAATTTAATACGACCGCAAAGGGTTAAAAAACAAGGAAAACTAGAGACTTATTTTTAGAAACATACTTCTGTTTTTTCAGTTGGCTTGGATTGTTTTTCTTTACATTTAGCCTGGTTGAAACCTTCTGAAAGCTCATCAATGAGTTCTGATTCACTCAGGAGCTATAAGAAAAGAGACATTGTATATTATGAAGTGACTGTTTTCAACTTTGTTAAAAAAAGTTTTCACAGGGAATTTTTTCTGGTTAACACATATTAGGCCATGGTATTTTAGGATCTAAAACCAAAAGCTAATTTATACTGGGCATTTCACTTATCAATGTAAGATAAATCTTATGCAACAAACAAGGAATATTAAATACTTCAGAACCACAAATATGTTAATGGTTGATTTAAAGTCTTTCTGACAGTAGCTGGAATTCAGAAGCTGGGCTCCAGTGTTGGTCCAGCCTAAACCTGGCGTCCTGGCCTTGCTATTTTCCAGCTCTGTGACCTTATGCTATTGATACAATCCTTCTGCATCTCAATTTCCTCACATGTAAAATGGGAATAATAATAGCACCTTCCTCATTCAGTAAGGACTCAAAAAGATAGTACAGGAAAGGCATCTAGTGCAGCGTCAGGAACATAGTAAGGGATCAGTAAATGTTGCTTAGTATTATCACGAAAGGTAACTATGCTGGTTGATACCAGCCTAAGTAATGGCAGTGTAGAATCATTAGAGTATTTGCTGCTGTGGTTAGACTCAAACTCTAAGTGTTAACAACCTGATTTAAGGCCCTCCTGACATTAGCACTGAATTTTCAGTGAATGTCACCTAGAAATTTATAATGTGTTAATCCATGAGGAAAATAATTAAAATATGTAAAAAGGAGTTACAGATCTGAGCCAAGTGTTGCTATCAGAAGTTTCCCTCTTCTTGTCCTGTCTTGTCATAATCATCTCAATTTATACTTCAACAGTTCTATTGTTTTATAAGTGTCAGGAAAAAACTTATTTCCCAACCTTGGGTTTTTCTTCAGGCTCTGGCAATAGTGGTTTTCCATCTTTATCCTGTAAATGAAATTGAAAATTCATTGAAAAAGAAATAGAAAATTTTGCTTTCATGTGCCATTAAATTTGTCTTGGAGAATTCCAGGATATTAGAGAAGAGCTTTTTTCCCCTTATATTTGAGTGAATTTCTATTTCAGGTTTATCTTTTATAAAGTATCAGAATAAAGAGTTGAAATGTGAAAATCAAGAGACCAAATATCAAATATAATGCACATTTACTTTTCTTTAAAAGTTGTTTTAAAAAAATCCCACCTATTCAATAGGAAAACAGATTTTAAAATATCCTTGGCAAGAAAGATGCAGCTACATTAATGAAAGATTTTTTTTTTTTTAAAGCCTTAATTCTCCAACCCAGGGTGAAGAGGTAGATATTATTCCTAAAATACTATTTTAGTGTTTTTGAATATGAGGTTTCACAATTTAGAATATTTATAAAAATAAAAAACTTTCCATCTATGAACATATATGATAATCACAGCCATTTCCCATCATATGTTTATGTGTATTGCTTCAAAGATAAATTATAGCTGTAATTATAGGAGTTAGTCCACCATCCTCACCTCAAACCAAAACCAACAAAACTGTAACTGAGGACACTGATAAATGGCTGTGCATTTCTGTCTACCAGTGAGATCTATGTTGCTTTTATACATACAGCAGTTAGAGAAAAAAATTATCCCCAAATTGTTCCTTCTGCTTTAAGGTCAAGGATCTATGTCAAGCATTGTTAACAGTAGAAACGCTTGAATTTGTGGAAATTTTAATAACCACGTGATGACGACTCAGGAAACCATCCCTTAAGGGGTCCAACTCTAGAGAGCAGAGAAGAAAGGGTCCAGGGTTTTCAGCGTTAGTATATAAACTGGAACAGTCCTTAGGCATATGGGGACAGACACCCAAAGCAGGATGGGAAGGCAGAGGCATGCGCCGTGGCTAACAACGTACCGTGGCTGGTTTTAGTCTGTACTCGGAGGGGACTGTTTCGTCATCTTCACCACACTTCTCTCGTTTCTCTTCTTTAGCTTTTGCCTGACAAAAGTGGAAAAAAAATAAATAAACATTTGGACAATACATATAAAATAAGATGGGTGTTGTAGAGAAGAGCAAATCTGATAAAAGTGTCTGTGTTTTGTAAACTACAAAGCAGGGACCATGGTGAGTGGCTTCGGGGAAGGCAGCAAGTGGGGTGACTGAGAGAAAACAACAGCCAGGAATCCTGGGGAGGTGCCCCGGCTCTGCTCTCAGGCACTGTGTGACCTTGGGAAGCCACTTAGTCTTTCTTGGGCTCGGTTTCTTCAGCTATAAAATGGGCTACTAATAATCCTTAACTAGCTACTGACTTGTAAGGGATCACCAGAGAAAAGTAAATAAAATATCCTCTGAGATAGTTAAGCACAGTGCAGAAGTTAGTTGCAATTATTTTAACAGCCTTCATCTTTCTCACTCAATGAGGCAGTTATCTACAGGGGAGAAAACCAATCCTCATGAGTGTTAACCGCAGTTCAGAAATGGGAGAAGATGCCCATCACAGATCCTGGATGATCCATGGACAACTGGCTTTATCTCTTTTACAAGGACTCCCTTCAATACACCAGGATGTCACTGGATTAACGAACCATGAACAATCAACTCCATTAAAAATAAAAGTGTACGCTAGTTCTAAAATAGATCTCTGGCTTCTAGGATATAACATTTACATTTTAAACAACTGGTGAGCAATGTGAAGTTCCATCATATGTAACAATCTGTACCTATATCAAGGCATAGATTTAAATCCCAAATCAAGGAGCTCCTGGGCGAAAGGGCGGGCAGGTGTCACTTAGCAAATTCCAGCCCAACCCACTGCTCCCACCTCCATCTCAGCCTAAGACTGCAGCTCTTCACTGAATGATTAGTTAATTGATACATTTAAAAATACTTATTAAGCACTTTAATGAGCCAGGAACTCTTCTAGCTTTAGAATTACAGTTTTATTGTTTTGTAGAGTAACACTTCTCATTAAGGAATGAATTTTTTTTTTTTAACATTTCCAGTTATATCCTACTGAAGACATGGAGGAAGCCCTGTTATGGAGTGGTTCTCCTCAATTCATAGATTTGTGGGGTCTCCGCCTATAAAGCAGCCTTCATGAGAGGCACGGTCCCGTGTGATAAGACTGTCCCCTCCACTCAGGCCTGCCCACACCGGGAGTCGCATGCACAGCTCGATCCTTTCTATTTCTTTGATCTTCATATTCTTTAAATGCCTGCACTGAAGGCATTGGAAGTAAACCGTCTCCTGAATTGAAATAGCGCCAGACTAGGTGACTACACGTAGAAATGGGGGAGGTGACTAGTGAGGTATCGTTATAAATATTATTTTGTTACAATACGTTATAAAAATGACAAGTAGGCATGGACCCCTTCTCTGAAGCACTATATAAGTTTTCCTCAGAGAGCTCTTCAGCATGGAATGTGCCAGATATGACCTTCCTGAGCGTTATCACATCAGACTCTCCAGGAAGTAATGAATTCACCATCAGATAACAAAAAGTCTGCTTAATGTTATTTTATTTAACTTTTTTTTTTTTTTACATCTACTTAACTGATTTTAGTCACTCTAAGACTCTTTTTGTCCTGGGATTTATGTTTATACCTTCCCTCCCCTAATTACTGTCTCATTCAATCACCCAGAATGATCTGTAAAAGGCCTGAGGCTAACGTGCAATGGTCTCCCTGCCACGCAGCCCTCGGGTGGTGGAACCGCAGCTCAACCTGCTCTGGCACCAGCCCCTGGGGTCCTGCCAGGACCACTCTTTCTACAGACGTGGCTGCTGCCTGGCGGCTCTCCTCATTTCCTTCCTTCCCAATACATTACTTGATCCTGGAGGACAAGGGCTGCCTCCCCCGCTCGCCCGTGTTCGCCTTCACAAAGCTTGCTGTGCCACGCTGCATCTGGCGAGCCCTCGAGGAAAGTGGAAGATAGAAACTGGCCCATTTGAGACCACGGGGCTCCCAGACCCCGGGAGAGTTGCTGGGAGTCGCCTTTCCCAGTGGCTCAGGACAGGAAGTGACAGCGAGGCAGCAGCATTGTGACAGCAGCACCCGCCCCCCCCTCCTGAGCGGCCAGAGCGGCGCCGGGGAGGCCGGGCCCGGCT